TTTTTAAAACTGAAAATTTGCATACCTCATTAGAAAAGTTTCCTTCTTTTCTTTCCATCTTTCCTGTTTGCATCTACATATTTGCATATCTGCTTCTGATTTCCTGTAATCCCTCAACCTTCATTTTCAGACCTATGTTATGGAATGAGATCATGACTCCTTCCTCAGCTCCTTTATTTCTCTAAATCCCAGCTTTCTAAACCTTCTTTTCCCCCGCCTCCAGCCCTCAGCCCCTGCTGACTCAGTTAAATATACATCTGCTTTTTTCCCCTTTGTTCCATCTTTTCCCTTCACCCCTCTGTGGCTGCTTTTCATATGTCAGCTTTGATCTGTTTGCTGGCAACACTAACGTTTTTAAATCTTTAGTAATTTGTTATTTTTGTACATTGGTGCAAAATTAAATATATCTTGGCAAGGAAGCATGGGTTGTCCCGTTCACTGCAGGAACAAACTCATTGTTACCTGGGTGGGAAGGCTGTATATGCAGTTGAAAATCATTGCTGGGGAAGTGCTGAGGCAATGGTCCAATCCACTGAGCACCATCAGTTTGGTTTAAATAACCAAGGCACATTCAAGATTCGGCTGTACAATTAGGCCCAGTTTTGCTAAGCCAATCTACTGCAGCAAAGGGAAAAATGGAGGGCCAATACTTTACACCTCTTTATGTTTCTTTGTTGTGGGTGCTGACCAGAATGATGTGGAGTGCAATCTTTAGTGATGGGAGCTGTGACACAAATCCCTGGAATTCAGTGGGGCCCTTCTGTTCATCAGCAGGGGTGTGGAGGGGTCCATCTTGTTTTATAACCCCTCACTCTCTTGGAGTATTATCAGAGGCTTAAGCTAATGGTTAGAGTATCGTGTAAATCTTGTGTTGCTGCTGTTATGTTGCTTTTTACTGTGCTTGCATCTGTCCAGACCTTTTTTTTTCTATTTTTTTTGTCTGTTTATGTTGCTTTTGTGAAGATGGCATGAACTGCTCTTAATTATGACTAGTGTTTTATGCTAGCGACCACATTGACTTGTGGTAAGAAAAATGACCACCTTAATGACTTTGAATTGCTGTGAAGCTGTAACTTCCTCAGCCACTCATAGTTGTGAGCTTTTCTCCTGGCCCACACTTAATTATGGTCACTTCAGTAATCTCTGGAGGATCAGGACTTTCTTACCACTAATGTCAGCTATTTCCAACAGTAACAGTAGTAGATAAGTTTTTTGCAAAGTACCTACAGAAACTCTAGGCATGAGTTCTTAACAGTGCAGCTGACAGCTGCCTTATGGACATGACTCCATACAGCCACTCTGCTCTTCAGAAACTGTTGCTAGAGCAGGTCCCTTCCCTTTTCCGCTCTTTCCTTGTCAGATGCCTTCCAAGCCCTCTATTCTAAAGAATAAAGAATAACACCTTCAAATTCCTCCATATCCCATTCTCCACAGTGACACTGAACCTTACATGTGGCCTTCTCATACCAGAGATTGACTGGGCTTTGTTGTTTTATTCCAGGTCACCGGTCTCTTCAGAAGATCAAGGTAAGATCTGTTTTATAGATACTAATACCATGTTAAAAATGAGCCTAAAGACTAGCTAGTAAGCTGTCTTTTAACACAGTTGTGATGGAAAAAAATTGCTTTATAAAAATGAAACTTTGATGTTGCTCAAACAATGTTCACCTCTAGACATCAAGTGCTAGTTCATTTAGTTGATTTAGTTGGGGCTGGCAAAAGTTAAGCCTGCGTTCGAGTTATTTGTAAAATGAATTTTGCTCACTCAAATGGAACTATTGCAAGTGCTTGCAATTTATTCACACAACTGCATAGGTCTTCACCTATGGAAAATTATGTGTGGGCTTAAAGAACGATACATGATTTTTGTGAAGATGAGCTGATCTCGTATGACTTTTATAGGACAGCACCTTTGTAGCAGAGGAGGGTGTATTATGCTTTAAAGGCTTGAACTCATGTTATCTTGGGTTACCACTAAAGTCAGTTTGGAATCACTGTATGGCATTTAGTGCAGCTAGGAGCTTCTACATGCAAAAATCTCATGGCTTGAGTAGCAAGAGTTGCAGGTTATGGTAATATACTTGCTCTGAAGGAGACTGAAGGATCTGAT